AAAAACACACCAGGCATGTGTGTGTGTGTGTGTTCAGGATCCTAATGGGATGGAGAAATGGAGGGGAAAAGGATCTTAGCATGACCAGACCTAGTTAGGGGTGTGTGTGTGTGTGCCATGGGCAAGCACGCGCTGGAAATTTATAAAAGATAAAAAGGTCTGGCTCCATGGCCTGGTGGTTAAGGCAGCCTGACTCCACATGGCTGACTGCACAGTTAGATTCCTGAATCTGATCTGGTGGCTTGAGAAAAACACCAGCCACATGTGTGGTTTGCCCATAATCCCGAAGCGAGAAAGGGAACAGGGATTGCGGTTTGACCATGTCCCATTGGGGGTGCTTCTCCTTTCCCTTTCTCTCTGTATCCCTCTGGCACATACCCGCCAGGTAAATTAACTGAATAAATAAATAAGAATAAAATTTTATAATGTTTAAAAGATCATGAATTGGGGCCAGCAGATAGCGTGGTGGTTAAAGGTTCTGGACTCCCACATGGCTGATCATGGTTCAAGTCCCAGATCTGGTGACATGCTTTCTCGCTTTCTCTGTCTCTTTCTGGTCAAACTGGAAAATAATGATATATGAAGTTAAATAAAATAATTATTAAAAAAATAAAATATCTCAAATCAGTAACCAAATTGAAAGCTTTGAAGAACTAAATAAAGAAAACCTTTACGGCCACCCTCACAGTGCCGTGGTTAAATGCTACCCGTTGGGTATCACATCCTACATGGCCGACCACAGTTCGAATTCTGGCTCTGGTGGTCTGAAACACATGCGGAGTGTGCATGTGTACCCGAAATCCTGATGGGATGGATAAATGAAGGAAAAAAGATTGAAATCTGATCCTGTCCCATGTAGGGAGCAGTTCTCTCATTCTCTCTCTGGTAAGCACATACAGCCTCTGACAAAACTTTAAAAAAAAATAAAATTAAAAAGAAAACAGGGCCAACAGGTGGTGTGGAGGGTGGAGGATAAGGAGCTGAACTTCACAGGGCTGACTATGCGACCGAGTCTCAAACCCTGTGGCTTGAAAATCACACTGGGCTTGTGTGCGAAGGGAATTTGATGTGGTTATCTCCTCTGGGGGTGATTTCTCACTTTCCTCCTTTCTGTCCCTCTCTGGAGAGTACATGTGCCTTACAGCATGTGCTTATACAGGAGAGAGTCACTGTTTAGCAGGTGCAGCATTTGTTTGGGATGGCAAAGTACTGAAAATAAGGGTGACACCGCGCAACACTGAGTGTGCTTAATGTCACTAAGTGATACCCTTAAAAATGGTTGGGGCAAGGCCAGTAGATTGCAGAGTGGTTGGGGCACTGGACACCCACATGGCTGACCACAGTTCGAGTGTCGGACCTGGTGGCTTGCTTTCTATTACTCTCCCTCTCTCTGGTCAAACTGAATAGTAAGAATAAATAAAAACAAATAATTTTTTAAAAAATGGTCAGTGTAGCAGGTGATATGGTTAAGGTGCTGGACTCCCACGTTGGCTGACTATGGTTTGACTCCTGGACCCAGCGACTCTTTCTCTCTCTCTCTCTCCTCAAATTAAAAAATAATTATAAATAAAATTTTTAAAAAAATAAATAGTTAGGGCTCCGGGCCAGCAAGTGGCATGGTGATTGGGGTGCTGAACTCCCACATGGCTGACTATGGTTCAGATCCCGGACCTCATGGCTTGCTTTCTTATTTTCCCTCTTCATCTTTCTTTCTCTGGTGAGTGCACGTGCCCTGTAGCAAAAAGTTTAGGGCTCAGATGGCATATAGGTTAAGGCGCTAGACTCCTACATGGTCAACCACAGTTCCAGTCCTGGACATGGTGGCTTGAAACTCATGCCAGACACAGGAGCACGCATACCCAAAATCCAGAGAGGAGACTGGAGAAGGGACTTCGGCATGGCCATCCCCCCTGCGGGAGATGATTTCTCACTCGCTCTCTCTCCAGCAAGCACGTGTGTCCTAAGGCAAAAACCTTAAAAAAAAAAAAAAAAAAAAAAAAAAAAAAAAAAAAAAAAAAAAAAACACTCAAATATCATGAAAGAGAGCAGTTACAAAATGCTGGTCTTTGCATCAACTGAAGTATTACATGAAAATTCATATTCTACACTACAATAGGTTCAATCTAATTACTATGATATAAACAGACTTTAAAGGAACAAAAGGAGAAAATGTCAATCTTAGATGACAAAGTTAAGCTAATGAAAGATACTAATGACATGAACACGATTTGATTGGCATTAAAAGTTTTTATTTGGAATTTGATCCACAATCTATACAAGTTATTTACAAGTCATGAAAATGGAAAACAGCACAAAATACAATTGAGGTATAAGCTAAGAGCACAGTATGTCATGTTTCAATAAATATCATTCAAAATTTGTAAACTAAGTGACCAGATAGATGAGTTTTTTTTTTTTTAGTAAAACCATATAAAATATTTATTTCACGTGAGGTAGAGGACAGTTTTGTGTCATGTAATGCAACCAACCACAGCCATTTTAACCATAAAACTGTACATCATTGGCAAAATTTTAGATTGATTTATGCTAAATATAGTCAACAATTTGTTTCAACCGTTACAGAACTGGCATTTACTGGCTTCACAGGTTAGAAATTCAGAAATAATTTAAGACTACTATGTTGGCTTAAAATTATCAGGATAAACACACACTTCTAACAGGATGGCTAAAAGCATTTTTTTTTCTCACAAACTCTAATTCCCCAAAGATATCCTGGATTTAGGGACTGTTGTAGTAGGACATTTTTACCAGAACTACTTTAAGTATACTGTGCTTTGTTCTCAAGTGAGGTATCTATATTGAAGAAAAAAATCTTATACATTTCTTTTATATTAAAGTAACAATATGCTATTTTGTTTTCTGGGCTTAATTTTAAAATTTGTTTTTACATTTGATCACTTTCTAATTAAAAAACAGTAGCTCTACATAGGACATTGAATTCTATTACTAAATAGGCTCCAAATTCCATTGAGTATTTTAGAAGCCATTTAAGTGGAAAAGTTAAAAAAAAAAAAAAACTGTCCTTTTAAACAAGATGCAGTATAAAATATCCATATGCTTTTCTTCAAATAGTGGAAATGCTTAAGTATTCTGTACTAGGAAAAAAATGTAAGCTCTATTTAAATTATTCAATTCCACAATGTATAATACAGCAGTTATAGGTCCTTTATTGCTGATAGCTCCCATAAAAACTATTAACAAGTAGTTCCAAGCACAGAAATAGATGTACAGTATAAGCACAATTTTTCATTATATTAATTTTTAATGTCCTGTCATGTGGATTAAATGCATAAAGGACAAATAAAAATGAGGCTTCCCTAAGTAATCAAAACATGTCTTACTGAGAAAAAATTGTAGAAGCTGATTAAAAAACTTCAGTACCTGCTTTCTAATCAACTCTAGGGAAATTCCTTGAGCAGATTTTATATTACTCTTTTTTTCTTCTCCATTTTATCTTCTTCCAAAAAGAAGCCACAGATGTGCAAATAATCTGATCACTCTGTTGTGACTTCTAGAAGATACGGATAAACTGCAGACGTCATAGCAACTGGTCTATACGCCCACTTCAGTAACTGCTTTAAAACTCAGTATGTACAAATGACTTTATATCTAAACTGGTAATATATTAATTATGTTATAAAATTAGTTCAAGAAGCAGAAAACATCCCAATACTCATGGACACAGAATTCAAGCAAAAGGGTATGTTCTACAAAAATAAAGCACAAGCCAAACTTAGGCTGCTGGTCAAGTCTT